AATCTCAGCTTGTTAACTGTATAAAAGGCACCTGTCCACAGAAGCAATCAATCAATCAGATTCCAAACTCTCTACCATGGCCAAGACCAAAGAGCTCTCCAAGGATGTCAGGGACAAGATTGTAGACCTACACAAGGCTGGAATGGGCTACAAAACCATTACCAAGCAGCTTGGTGAGAAGGTGACAACAGTTGGTGCGATTAATCGCAAATGGAAGAAACACAAAAGAACTGTCAATCTCCCTCGACTTGGGGCTCCATGCAAGATCTCACCTCGTGGAGTTGCAATGATCATGAGAACGGTGAGGAATCAGCCCAGAACTACACGGGAGGATCTTGTCAATGATCTCAAGGCAGCTAGGACCATAGTCACCAAGAAAACAATTGGTAACACACTATGCTGTAAAGGACTGAAATCCTGTAGCGCCCGCAAGGTCCCCCTGCTCAAGAAAGCACATATATATGCCCGTCTGAAGTTTGCCAATGAACATCTGAATGATTCAGAGGACAACTGGGTGAAAGTGTTGTGGTCAGATGAGACCAAAATGGAGCTCTTTGGCATCGACGCAACTCGCCGTGTTTGGAGGAGGAGGAATGCTGCCTATGACCCCAAGAACACCATCCCCACTGTCAAACATGGAGGTGGAAACATTATGCTTTGGGAGTGTTTTTTTCTGCTAAGGGGACAGGACAACTTCACCGTATCAAAGGGACGATGGACGGGGCCATGTACCGTCAAATCTTGGGTGAGAACCTCCTTCCCTCAGCCAGGGCATTGAAAATGGGTCGTGGATGGGTATTCCAGCATGACAATGACCCAAAACACACGGCCAAGGCAACAAAGGAGTGGCTCAAGAAGAAGCACATTAAGGTCCTGGAGTGGCCTAGCCAGTCTCCAGACCTTAATCCCATAGAAAATCTGTGGATGGAGCTGAAGGTTCGAGTTGCCAAACATCAGCCTCGAAACCTTAATGACTTGGAGAAGATCTGCAAAGAAGAGTGGGACAAAATCCCTCCTGACATGTGTGCAAACCTGGTGGCCAACTATAAGAAACATCTGACCTCTGTGATTGCCAACAAGGGTTTTGCCACCAAGTACTAAGTCATGTTTTGCAGAAGGGTCAAATACTATTTTCCCTCATTACAATGCAAATCAATTTATAAAATTTTTGACATGCGTTTTTCTGGATTTTTTAAAATTGTTTTTCTATCTCTCACTATTCAAATAAACCTACCATTAAAATTATAGACTGATAATTTCTTTGTCAGTGAGCAAACATACAAAATCAGCAGGGGATCAAATACTTTTTTCCCTCACTGTATCTATCCCCAATCTCTCTAACCCCAGCTTTCTATCCCCCCCACTTCTCTATTCTCCCCCCCCCACCTTTCTAACCTCCTCCACCACCTCTCTACCCCCCCCCTTTCTATCAAACCCATCCTCTTTGTCCCCCCCCACCTTTCTTCCCCCCCTCCCCCCCCCCCCCGAGAGTTAGAAAAAAAACCAAAGACCCCCCGTATAGCCTGTAACAGACTGTTGGGGCAAGTGCTGTTAGCGAGCAGCACCTATGAAGGCCGGCACGGCACACGAGGAGGTGGGTGGCCAGCACCACGCCCGGCCGCCTTTGTCTCACCAGTGGGAGACAAAGGCGGCCGAGTGGCGATGTTTACACACCGCACCAGGTACTGATGTACGTGTTGATGATGGTAGTGATGCTGCTGCTATAATGAAGCTATATTAGTCATTGTGATGCTGCTGTGATGACACTGGTGTTTGTGTTGATGATGGTAGTGATGCTGCTGCTATAATGAAGCTATATTAGTAATTGTGATGCTGCTGTGATGACACTGGTATTTGTGTTGATGATGGTAGTGATGCTGCTGCTATAATGAAGCTATATTAGTAATTGTGATGCTGCTGTGATGACACTGATGGATGTGTTGACGATGGTAGTGATGCTGCTGCTATAATGATGCTATATTAGTCATTGTGATGCTGCTGTGATGACACTGGTGTACGTGTTGACGATGGTAGTGATGCTGCTGCTATAATGATGCTATATTTGTAATTGTGATGCTGCTGTGATGACACTGGTGTTTGTGTTGATGATGGTAGTGATGCTGCTGCTATAATGATGCTATATTAGTAATTGTGATGCTGCTGTGATGACACTGGTGTATGTGTTGATGATGGTAGTGATGCTGCTGCTATAATGATGCTATATTTGTAATTGTGATGCTGCTGTGATGACACTGGTGTATGTGTTGACGATGGTAGTGATGCTGCTGCTATAATGAAGCTATATTAGTAATTGTGATGCTGCTGTGATGACACTGATGGATGTGTTGATGATGGTAGTGATGCTGCTGCTATAATGAAGCTATATTAGTAATTGTGATGCTGCTGTGATGACACTGATGGATGTGTTGATGATGGTAGTGATGCTGCTGCTGCTGCTGCTATAATGAAGCTATATTAGTAATTGTAATGCTGATGCGATGACACTGATGTTTGTGTTGATGATGGTAGTGATAGTGCTATTGTTTGTGATTATTCCGTATTAATGATTGATGGGAGTGATGTTGCTAATATGATGATAGTAGCTCTGTTTATGATGATGGTAGTAGTAGTGACAATGCTGTGTTGATGGTAGTGATGATGATGTTGCTGCTATGATGATAGCGATGATGTGTTGAAGGTTATGATGTTACTGTTATGATGATTGTGATGACGATACGTTTATGATGATGATGGTACTGAAGCTGCTGATATGATGATCGTGATGATGCTCTGTTGATGATGATGGTACTCGAAGTGACGATGCTTTGATGATGATGATGATGGCAGTGATCCTGCTGCTATGATGATGATAGTGATGATGTGCTGAAGGTTGTGATGTTACTGCTATGATGATTGTGATGACGATGCTTTGATGATGATGATGATGATGGCAGTGATCCAGCTGAAAAATGATGATGATAGTGATGATGTGTTGAAGGCTGTAATGTTACTGCTATGATAATTGTGATGACGATGCGTTGATGATGATGATGATGGCAGTGATCCTGCTGAAAAATGATGATGATAGTGATGATGTGTTGAAGGTTGTGATGTTACTGCTTTGATGATGATGGTAGCAATACTTCTATGATGACAGTGATGATGATGTGGTGATGATGATGATGATGCATCTGCTATGATGATGGTTATGCCGCTGCTATGATTATGATGATGGTAACCGTGATCGTGTTGAGGGTTGGTCGCATCACCCGGCCCGGATCGCGCAGTCACTGGACCGGAGCGCGAGTCGTGACCACCGTGGCTCCACGGGGTTTTAACGGGGAACTCGGTGTACAAGGGGGTGGGGTGTGTGACATGTGTACATGTGCACGTGTGTACACAGGTGAATGTTCACGGTGTGCATGTCATTACAGGTGTGTATGTAGGAGTGTGTACATCACCTCTGGGGAGACAAAGGCGGCCGGGAGCCATGTTGGCCACCCACCCCCTCGTGTGCCGGGTGTACACACGCGTGTACACATCCCCGGTGTACATATACACACAACAACAACAACAACCGCCATTCGCCACGAAGTGGCGGTGACGTCACCACGACGCTTGTGCCAGGCCATGTGCACCTTGAGGCCACGTGAAGTGTCGAACGCCCGCTGGCAGGAGGTCACGGGGCAGACCCAGGTGCCACGGGTCGACTGACTGAGATGACTGAGATGACTGGCTGATGCACCACCTGTGCCCCCTACTGTGCCAACCTGCTGTGCTTTAGCCACCCGGCGCTCCGCTCGTTGTTGTGAGCGTCGCTCCTCCGCCCTCCGTTGTTGTTGGAGGGCGACTGCCTCCAACTGCCCAGTAGCATCCTTCACGAGCCTCCTCCACAGAGGCCGTTCTTGACACCGCTGGTACCAGTCATCGGCAAGTCCACTCAGCTCCACGTCCTCCTGTACCACGTCACTCCATCTCTTCTCTAGCCCGTGCCGCGCCCGTTTAGCCCCCTCGATCCGGCCGAACAAAAGCTGTTTCGGCAGGCGGTGGCTGGGCATGCAGGCTACATGACCCAGCCAACGCAGCCTTCCCCGCCGGAGGAGCTCACCGATGGGACCTTGCCCAGATGTTTCAAGGATTTGTGAGCTCCTCACACAATCCAGCCTGGTTAAACCCAGGATGGATCGTAGACAGGCCAGGATAAATGTTTCTAACCGGCGAAGATGTTCCATTAAGGGGGTCCACGTTTCGCAAGCGTAGAGAAGGGAGGGAATGACCGTGGCCGAGAAGACCTGAAGCTTAGTGCGGAGCGACAAACCAGGTAGCTTCCACACAGCGTTACGCAACCGATGAAAAGATATTGCCGCTCAACTGATTCGGAGTGAGACCTCTGCTGTTAAACTGGAGCCGGTCATAAGCACACTGCCAAGGTATGGGAAACTCTCCACTCTCTCCACAACTGCCCCATCACCGATTGGGAGTTGTGGGGGTGGAGTGTCCGATGGTACAAAATACCCAGGCAGGTGCTTAGTTTTGGTGGGGCTGATGGTAAGGCCCCATCTCTTAGTGGCACGCTCCAGTCTTAGCAGCAGCGTCTCCAACAGCGTGTACACACATACACACATATACACACACAGACACGTGTACACACACACGTGTACACACACACACGTGTGTACACACACGTGTACACACACACGTGTACACACACACGTGTACACACACACACTTGTACACACACACACACGTGTACACACACACGTGTACACACACACATCGCGTTCGGCAAGTCGCGTTATTTTCATTGCTTCGCTCTCTCTCCTCCGTCTGGCTCCGCGGGTGGTCGCCAAGGCAACCGCGCGATGAGCGTTTCCCTGGCGACGAGGCGCGCGGATGCTGGTCCGCGGGTCACGTGACCCCCCCACCACCCGCCCTACTCCTCCTCCTCCTCCTCACCACCACCACCATCACCACCCCTCTCAAGCCCCAACACTCCTCTCCCACCTCACCGTCTCCCTCCCCATCCATCTCCATCCTTCCCTCCCTCTCTCTCTCCACACACAGCGCACACAGCACACACACCGCGCGCGCTCTCTCGCGACACTTGCGTGCGGATATCCATGGGAGACGGGTGCACAACGCAGCCACCACCACCACCACAGACGGTGGTTGTTGTGACGGCGTCTGCACGGTGTGTATTCTACAAACGTCGAGTTTTTGGGGAGGGGGGGGGTGGTAGTGGCGAAGGGGAACATTTGATGTTTGGATAATTTAACAAGAACAAAAAAAAATAACTAATTTTATTGTCGATTAGAAAATGACATTGATCTGTTTTTGTTTAGTTCGTCTTTATGATATATGTTGTTTTACACGTAGTTTCTGTGCCGTTCCGTCGTGCTGTGCTGCACGGATGCAGTTGTCTAATAACCATGTTAACACTATAGCAATTTAAATGTATCCTGCATCATCATCATCAGCAGCAGCAGCGTGAGCCTTGATCTATCCACTGTTGAATGAAGTCCTCTCCTCCTCCCCCTGCTCCCTCTTACGATCCACCCCGCGATGTCTATCTATGGATCCATCCAGCACCCCTTCACACACTCCGTCTCCACGGTGAACGTCTCCTCCCTCCCCTCTCTCTCTCTCGTTCTCTGTCGCGTGGCTCCACATCTCCTTTGGCCGCCGCCGTCAGCACATTTAAAATTGTGTTTTTTTTGTGTGTGTGTGTGGATTTGCTCTCCAACACACAAAACCGCTGTGTGCTCTCCTAGTAACGAATTGGCATGTTCCGTTTACGCGACACACCTTAACGAATTGTCGGGTGGCGGCGGGTTTGACGACACACACACACAAAAAAACAACCTCCACTATGGATGACATTGGTCGCGAAAGTCTCCGACGCGTTAAACCGACACCGCCGCCAATTCTTCACCGATCGCATTTTCGCAGTCATACATTGAGCAACGGAACTGCGATGTCTATCGCTGCCGTCTCTCGCCCTGGGAGAGAGACGGACGCGACAAACATCAGCGGCGTGCGGAGCAAAGCGCTAGGCGGAGGTGGCGATTGTATTGGGGGGGGGGGTGGGAGGCCTTCATCCAGCAGTGGATTGAACATGGCTGATGGTCATTATTAATTTCTCTCCCCCCCGCCCCCCCCCGTCTCAACTCCAGCACGACGACGCCTCCCTCGCCTCCCCCACGTCTAAGGGCGGCGTGTCTGAGTACAGTACAACGGCGTGGAGAGACGGACACGAGGAACGAGACGCAGCAGACACGAGGTGAGAGAGAGAGAGAGGGAGAGAGAGAGAGAACGTCGTTGATGGCTTCCGTTCATCTTCAAAGGATCGTAGATACTCATCATACATTCTGGGGGGGGGGGAGGGAGGGTGGGTGGGTGAGCGATCGAGCGGTGGCGCAGTGGTTAGCGCGCTGTGCTCTAAGAACCCCGGCACAACCTTCGTTCGATTCCCAACCGCCGCCGATAATCTCTCCCCCCACCCACCCTTCACGAACCCGCACTGACCAGCGCGGTGAAGTATGGTCAAACAACACCGCCCCCAGCCCCCCCCCCCCATCCCATCCATCCCATGAGTGACACGGCGTGGAGGGGGGGGGGCTTTAAATACCCGTCGGCCCCGTGACCGAAGCATCGGACGTGCGCTCGATGGCACTCAGATCGCGGGAAGCTAAGCAGGTTCGAGCCTGGATCGGGATTGGGTGTGCGACTACCACCGTGCAAAGACAAAGATCCCCCGTGTAGCCTTCAACAGAATGTTGGGGCAAGTGCTGTTAGCGAGCAGCACCTATGGAGGCCGGCACGGCACACGAGGGGGTGGGTGGCCAGCACTACGCCCCGGCCGCCTTTGTCTCACCACTGGCGATGTTCACACACCGCACCGGGTACTCGTTTTGAGGCTGAGTCGACCTAGGGGAGGCCCAGGACCGGTTCAGATAATCGTCACATGTGGTGTTGGCCGTGCGCGGGAATCGAATTCGGGTCGCCGGGTTCGCGGCGCAGCGTAGCGCTAACCGCTCCACCACCGCTCCCCACCTACCACCGTGCACCCCAGGTGTTATAGGCGTATTCCAGGCAGTGCCGTGGCGGTCAGCAGAGGGCAGTGCGGCCCAAAGTCAACTGTTGTGTTGTGCTTCTATGTTGCCGTACCTACGATGTAACCCGCCTTCACCTTGTGAACCATACCACGAGGGTCAGGTCAGAAGGTCAAGTTTGCCGGGCACGACGATAGCATCAGTGACTCGGGGCACGCACGACGGGCGTGGTGAAGTATGGTTGTGAGCAAACCGCCCACGAGCGACACGAAGAAGTGAACTTCCATCAGTTTAACCAGCGGTGGATTGTAGGCAGCACTGGAGCAGTACAGTTCTCTCTTGCACTTAATCGCGCGGAATTTATTTGACTGATTACGATAATCATGATAATAATACCGATTAAGTGATAGACCCTCAAAGATGCATCGCACACATACTCTTTGGTTCTTTCGGTAAAAGTCACGTGGTAGGTATAAAATAAAATAAATTAAATCGGGCGTTTCGGGCGCAACACAAGTTCCCGTCATCATCAGGTGGAACAACCTCGGCAAGAAACAATTTGCCCAATTCAGCAAAAAAAAATTATTTGTTTCTTGCTGCGGTTGTTCCACCTGGTGACGGGCACTTGTGTTGCGCCCGAAACGCCGTGGTTTAATTTATTTTATACCTACCACGTGACTTTACCGAAAGAACCAAAGAGTATGGATCCCTGCAGTCACAAAAATGCATCACACACACTCATCTAGAATGCATCACACACACACACACACATCTAGAATGCATCACACACACATATCTAGAATGCATTACACACACACATCTAGAATGCATCACACACACACAAGTAGAATGCATCACACACACACATCTAGAATGCATCACACACACATATCTAGAATGCATCACACACACATCTAGAATGCATCACACACATATCTAGAATGCATCACACACACACACACATCTAGAATGCATCACACATACACACACATCTAGAATGCATAACACACACATCTAGAATGCATCACACAAAACATATCTAAAATGCATCACACACATATCTAGCATGCATCACACACACATATCTAGAATGCATCACACACATATCTAGAATGCATCACACACACACATCGAGAATGCATCACACACACATATCTAGAATGCATCACACACACATATCTAGAATGCATCACACACACACATATCTAGAATGCATCACACACACACATATCTAGAATGCATCACACACACACATCTAGAATGCATCACACACACACACATCTAGAATGCATCACACACACACATCTAGAATGTATCACACACATATCTAGAATGCATCACACACACACATATCTAGAATGCATCACACACACACATATCTAGAATGCATCACACACATATCTAGAATGCATCACCAACACATATCTAGAATGCATCACACACACATCTAGAATGCATAACACACACATCTAGAATGCATCACACACATATCTAGAATGCATCACACACATCTGGAATGCATCACACACACACTCACATCTAAAATGCATCACACACACATATTAAGAATGCATCACACACACATATCTAGAATGCATCACACACACATATCTAGAATGCATCACACATATCTAGAATGCATCACACACATATCTAGAATGCATCACACACACATATCTAGAATGCATCACACACACATATCTAGAATGCACCACACACACACATCTAGAATGCATCACACACACACATCTAGAATGCATCACACATACACATCTAGAATGCATCACACACACATCTAGAATGCATAACACACATATCTAGAATGCACCACACACATCTGGAATGCATCACACACACACACACATCTAAAATGCATCACACACACACATCTAAAATGCATCACACACACACACATCTAGAATGCATCACACACATATCTAGAATGCATCACACACATCTGGAATGCATCACACACACACACATCTAAAATGCATCACACACACATCTAGAATGCATCACACACACATCTAGAATGCATCACACACATATCTAGAATGCATCACACACATATCTAGAATGCATCACACACACACACATCTAGAATGCATAACACACACATCTAGAATGCATCACACACATATCTAAAATGCATCACACACATATCTAGCATGCATCACACACATATCTAGAATGCATGACACACACACACACATATCTAGAATGCATCACACACATATCTAGAATGCATCACACACATATCTAGAATGCATCACCAACACATATCTAGAATGCATCACACACATCTAGAATGCATAACACACACACATCTAGAATGCATCACACACACACACATCTAAAATGTATCACACACACACACATCTAAAATGCATCACACACACACATCTAGAATGCATCACACACATATCTAGAATGCATCACACACATCTGGAATGCATCACACACACACACACACATCTAGAATGCATCACACACACACACATCTAGAATGCATCACACACACATATCTAGAAAGCATCACACACACACACATCTAGAATGCATCACACACACATCTAGAATGCATCACACACACATATCTAGAATGCATCACACACACACACACATCTAGAATGCATCACACACACACATCTAGAATGCATCACACACACACATCTAGAATGCATCACACACACACATCTAGAATGCATCACACACACACACATCTAGAATGCATCACACACACATCTAGAATGCATCACACACACACACACATCTAGAATGCATCACACACACATCTAGAATGCATCACACACACATCTAGAATGCATCACACACATCTAGAATGCATCACACACATATCTAGAATGCATCACACACATATCTAGAATGCATCACACACACACATCTAGAATGCATCACACACATATCTAGAATGCATCACACACATATCTAGAATGCATCACACACACACACATCTAGAATGCATCACGCACATACACATCTAGAATGCATCACACACACACACATCTAGAATGCATCACTCACATACACATCTAGAATGCATCACACACACATATCTAGAATGCATCACACACACACATCTAGAATGCATCACACACACACATCTAGAATGCATCACACACACATATCTAGAATGCATCACACACACACATCTAGAATGCATCACACACACATCTAGAATGCATCACACACACATATCTAGAATGCATCACACATATCTAGAATGCATCACACACACATCTAGAATGCATCACACACACACACATCTAGAATGCATCACACACACACATCTAGAATGCATCACACACACAAGTAGAATGCATCACACACACATCTAGAATGCATCACACACACATCTAGAATGCATCACACACACACACATCTAGAATGCATCACACACACACATCTAGAATGCATCACACACATCTAGAATGCATCACACACATATCTAGAATGCATGACACACACATCTAGAATGCATCACACACACACATCCAGAATGCATCACACACACACACACATATCTAGAATGCATCACACACACATCTAGAATGCATCACACACACACACACATCTAGAATGCATCACACACACACATCTAGAATGCATCACACACACATCTAGAATGCATCACACACATATCTAGAATGCATCACACACACACACGCATCTAGAATGCATCACACACACATCGATGGAACTGGCCACAGCCTTGCGAGTGTTGTGCTTACGCACCTGCCTAAGCCTCTCGCCCAGTGGCTCTTCACCTGTGGTGGCACGCACCCCCTAGGGGTGCGTGATGCCCTTTCTGTGCGTGCAAGACGAGGTCAGCTTTTGTTTTGTTCTAGAAGGTAAATTATCGACACGCAAATTAAGCACGTTAAGTTACAACTTACTTTAATAATAGGATTCTTCCCCTTTTTTCCTGGCAACAAAACGGAAATACTCTATGGTTCTATTCGGCAAAGTCACATAGGTTTACCTACGTAGGTTTACCTACGTGACTTTACTGAATAGAACCAAAGAGTATGGATCCTTGCAGTCACGAAAGCTTCAAATCTAGAAACAAAACGGAAACCCTTTTTTTTACAATTAATCACGTGGTGCATTAACCACAATACTTGTGGCCAAAATGCAACCAAAAACACACTCTGATAATATAGTTACATTGTCCTTGAAACTGATTGTTCCACACGTTTAATGGTTT